CCAATACTGTGGGTAGATGACTTCAAGGACATCCTGGATTTATCCCCCCACAAGATGTCCTTCGAGGGGTTATTATCCTCAAAGGCAGATCGTGCATGAACGTTCGGGCGAGGTATGAAGAATTAGTTGCTGAAGTCAAAAAGTAGGTCAGCCGAACGAATAAATGACCTGATGCTGACGTCAACATTAGGTCTCATTTTGACTTCATACTTGTATTCACGCATTCCGACCTGAGCCAGGAGGACCTTTCAATCCCACTGATGAGGTTCATTGAACATGTGTACATCGACCACGATGCTCCTTGGCAGGCTTTACAGAACGCTTTTGGCGACAAGGATATCCTTTTGGAGACCTCCCCGATGCTCATTTTTTCAGATGCGGTCAATGTGCACGGACAACGGGCGGAGGTCCATACTAGGGTACTGTCTCGGGATCACCATCTTCTTCCCTTTGGTCTGGAGTACTGGCGGTCCCTGTGCTCCTGCAAGTCAACCTTACCCAAGCTTGTCACTAGCTACCAATCTCATGGAAAGGGAGCTCAGGCACGCATTCGATGCATGAAATGTCAAGCCACCCCGAGATTTGTCAAGCGCCCTAATTGGGTGAATTCAATCGAAGGGGGCAAAAATCTTGTATACTACAACTGGCCATTGAGTAAGGACCAAGTTGAACTACTCGGTAGACAGCATGATACAGACGTTATTATAAAGGATTGAGGCTAAACACTGTTTCCATTTTTATGACACTAAATGAGATCATGTTAGGCTTACATAGTTTACCCAAAATCAAGAAATGGTTGTATGCTGTTCAGATCAACGCCGGCAATAATCACTCCACGATCTCACGTCAGACTCTGGCGTTGGAATGGGGGAGTTAACGCCTTCCAGTTATGATCTCACTGAAGCGACCATGGTCTCTCCGTGTCATTCACTAGGCTGCGGCAGCGTCTAGAAATAGTGTAAAGATGCAGCACAGAGCCACAAACCCGTACTATCGATGCCCCCCCAACCCCCGGTGAAACAATGTACCCCCTGTGAAACATCGCATTTCTTCGAACATATCTCGTCCCCCCCCCCCCCCTCAATGCTCACGATTATTATTTTTTTACACTGTTCGCGCCTTAGTCTATAACATAGTCAAAGCGCAGCAGTAGAAGATCAGAGTTGAGTACCCCTGTACAGCTCGACAAAGTGTTCTAAGTTGCATTGCTCAAAGCTCGTTCGCTCCAGCCACTTGGTCAAATATGCCTCGTTTACTTTGGGCTCTTGTTGTCTGTTAGAAGAAAGAAACATGTACCCAATAACCATAGGACAAATTGTGCGCGTTAATGTTTAGTCGCCCGCGTTCCAGCAGCATTGAGATTTTGAGCTTGGAAGACAGGGGCTCGATCGTGACAAAAGCGTGATGGAGCAGCACGGCGGCACGCGTCGGCATGAAGTCATTCAACTATCAAAGTGTTGTGACTAATGTAACATAGTCGTTATGGTCACAGGTTTTCACAGTGAGGGCAGAGTCACGGTATCGGCATTACGCTGGTATCGCTTCCAGGCTTCGACAAAGTGTGCAGAAAATTTAGAAGCTACGGAAGACACTGAATTACATTAGTACCAGAATTTTGGAGGTAACTGGCTAGGTAAAGGGGAAAGCCAAAAAACACAGTATGGAGGCGTTTCACAGGAGGTACATTGTTTCACAGGGGGGGCATCGATAGTATCATCAAAAAATTACGGGAGAATTTTTGATCGTACCTGCTTTTGCGTGCCCCGTTTGTCCTAGGTTGGTTCTCGATTCTGAAGATCTGTACGCCCAGGAGGGCGCAGCGCCAATCCTGAGGAATGATACAGTACGACACATCTGACTCACACACCTTCGAGTTACCGAATACAGATCTTACTAGAGAGTATAAGTACAGCGCATTGCTACTCATAAAATTCCATAGCTCATCGTCCTATCCACTTTTCATTCGTGCTTGGACAAATATCGACCAGAGTCTGATAGTCGGGCTTTGAGTTTCCGAGTCGAGAAAGTCCTAGGGGTCCGATGTACCAGGAAAGGCTATCCGCCTGCCCAATAGCACCTCTGTGAGTCGAAAGGACCATCCATGCGAAGTTCATGAGCAAGTGAAATAAACCGATGCCGAGTTGAATGTTTTGGATGCGATTGAGAGCACACGTATCCTCGAGATGCATGTGCACAGCACTTCGGATGCGAACATTTGTAAGCTGGTCGTTTACAGAGGTAACAGAGCGTCCCTCAAAATGTCCTTTGAGGATCTTGAGGATATGTGTGTAGGTTACATTAACAATCTGAGCGTTGCCGTTGGTAGTATATTCGTCAATGGTTAAGGTGGGAAGGGTGCATTGCTCGAATTTCTCCCCAGCGTTGCACGGGCAGTAGCTCGAGCGTTGGAGCTCGTCTGGGTTGCCAAGGTACTCGTATGCATCTCCTAAGGACTGCCGAAGAATTTTGACAAGGTCTGGCACGAAATGTCGAAGAATATCAGCGCGTTGAGCTTTATTAGTGCGAATGTTGTCCTAGTAGTTCATTACCTCGCCAGTAGCACGACGAGCAAGAATATCAGGGAGGCACTCGGCGAGATTGAGTGGATTACCCTCCCTGACATACAGAACCACTTGAGTACCTTTTATGAACTTGGTAGGGCCTTGCTCGCGCTGAGTCGCGTGCACACTGAATATAATTTGCACATTATCCCAGCATATGCAGTGAAAACCGAGCGCAGCCAGGCGAGCACGAAGGAGCTGCTTCTCCGCGAGATTTGTGTTTGTTCGCTTGAGGGACGACCAGGAGTAGTGTTGCCGCGGTTCGGGCGGCCAACGGTTTGGAACCATGAACCGAACCAAGAATGCCCTCGGTCCCGTCAGAGTTGTTTTCTAGGGACAGGCAGTTCCCCGAACCTAGTTTTGGTTCCTAGACTGGTTCGAACCCCGTAATAAGGACAACAAAATCTATAATGAATTTGTAGTAGAATTATACTAATGTCACGACTGTGGTCCCGAGCACAATGAATGTTCATCAGGTGCAAAAGTGCTATTTACAAGAGAAATTCACCTTCAATAGTCCTTGTATTAAGAGAACCTGCGTAATTCAACATAAATGGTACTGTCTGACATTGTTTTGTCTGGGATATCCCTGAAGATGCATCTTGAACATGACATAGTCGACACGCAGACCCAAAGATGCAGCAGTGGGCTGCCTGGGTCAGTAGAGAAGGCCGAGGGTTGACTACAATTACGTCAATAAAATTATAAGCGAAATCAAAGCCAAAAGGTTTCCATAGCGTCTTGGCTCCCAGGGGTTCCAAACCGAGAACTAACCCTCTGAA